TAGTAGGATGGTTGGTTCGGATTTTGAGGATTTTTTTTCAATTTGTGTTGTTAGACGTTTTAACTTTTAAGTTTTGGCAAAACTTTAACTTCGGTCAATATATTTGGTAATGTGGTCAAAATTTGAATTCCATCAGCGTAGTTGTGTCCGGAAGGTCATTTTTTTGTCTAATAGGATGTTTGGTTTTTGTTTTAGGTTTTGTTTTTTAGTTTGTGCCGGTAGGCCTTTTAACTTTAACTTTTGGCCAAAATTTGAGTTTGAACAACTTTTTTGATAAAGGTGCTCAAATGAGAAATTCGTCAGTGGGCTTATCTTTGAAATTTCATTTTTGGTCTAATATGATTGTTGGTTCGGATTTTGAGGCTTTCATTTTCAGTTGGTGCGGTTAGGCGTAAATCTTTTATGTTTTGGCCAAAATTTGACTTCGGTCAACAGTTTTGGTAAACATGCTCGAATGAAAATTTTGCCAATGCGGTTAGCTCGGGAAGGTCATTTTTTGTCTAATAGGATGGTTGGTTTGACTTTTGAGGCTTTCATTTTCTATCTGTGCTGTTAGACGTTTTATCTTTCAAATTTTAGCCAAAGTTTGACTTTGTTAAAAAAAAATCGTAAAGGTGCTCGAATTAGAATTCTGTCAGTGCGGTTAGCTCTGGAAGGTCATTTCTGGTCTAATAGGATGGTATGTTCGGGTTGTACGAAGAAGTAGTAGAGGCTTCTTTCTTTTGATTTAAGTCTACAATTGTGATGAACGTGACTATTGAAAAATGTGTATTACTATTAATATTAATTTAATATCATGTACAAACTTTAAAAAAATTAGCTATAAATCTTTATTAGACCTAATTTGTATTTAGAGAAAAAGCTCCAATATGTTATCGAACTATTAGAAATGACTCATTTAGTCAGCACAAAAAATCTACAATTCATAGATACACAAATATATTTTATTGGAAAGTTAATTAAAGTAGTTGATATATATAAATATATATCATGTCAAAATAAAGATATGTCGTGTAACGTGTTTACATACTACACTCTAAACAATTTTCTATTTAGTCAATACGAAAAAAATGACACATTTCTTTATATGAAAAATCTTTCAACATTGTATCCACGTTGGATCTCACTCATTCGTGTTCAATTAAATTAACAATATCAAATAAATTAGGATAAAAAATAGTACGAAATATTTTTTATTTAAGTTTTCACCCTTATATTTTTTTTTTTAAAAACCCACTTAACATATATTATAACTTAGAGGAGGGAATTTTAATAAATAATATAGAAAGAAAAAGAGAAAACAAAAATTGATGTCCAAAAAGAGCAACAAAAACGCAGGCATATTTTTTATTTTAGTTTTCACCCTTATATTTTTTTTAAAAAAAACCCACTTCATATATTATAACTTAATAGAAGGAATTTATTAAGTAATATAGAAAGAAAATAAAAAATTGATGTCCAAATACAACAACAAAATCGCAGGTGGAATAGACAAGAACAACAATCAGCTCACTTTGTTCTTCACTAAGCTGAATGAACAAGAAAAAAATTCATCAAGAATTCCCTATGCTTAGCTAGATCGAACTGGGTAATCTTTTTACTCATCTGTTTTCTAAGTTCCACTACATATCAATGATAGATCTCCTCTCAAGAGTGGAACAGATTCAGCTACAAATCGCCTAAGTTTTCATCTCAAGCTCTAATCCCCAGCAGTGATTTCATATATGGAGTATTTCATAGAGCAAATTGGGTCTTTATTCTTTCAAGAGTATTACAACTCATGGACTGCATCTCAGATCTACAGAAAGACCCACATCGTGTTTCTGGGTATGTCTTCATCCCCATTCACCCCTCTTTTGTTCAATTAATCATTGCATGTGTTGCTTGCTCTTGCTGAGAGGTACTTAGCTTGTTGTAGATTTAAGTTCTTGTTCGAATTCCTGCGTATTATTACATTTCTGTATTTTAATTTCATCACTTTAAAGATTGGATTTTGTTTTTGACTTTATTTGTGGTGAATAAAAAAGTATCTTAAAAGAATTGTACAAATACTTCAAATAAAAATTGGAAGAATTTATTATATTTGAAAGAAAAAAAATAAAAGTTGAAAAGAAGAGAAAAAAAAGCAAAAACTTTTCCCGCTAAACTCCCCACCTCCCTAAAATACGAAGACTTGCGCCACTATTCAGTTTTTTTCTCTAATTTCTGCCCACGTTCAAGCATTACTTTTTCTAAATCCTTTTCATTTTTATCCCATTTCACAGATTGTCTCTGACTACAATAACTCGCAATTCATCTGTCGCTCTTGGATTTTCAGTTTCACAATCCTTTCTGCTAAGTGGTAAGTATTCTTTATCAAGCTTAGTTTCTCCTTTTTGTTTCATTCAATCAGTCAATTGTAGAACTTTTGATGTGCTCTATTTGCTCATTTAATATATAGCATTCATATAGTGAATATATAGACTTGTGTTTTTGAATCCCCTTGATATGGAAATTTCTCTAACATGGTTGTGAATTGGGTTCACTATTCGGTACACTATTTTTGAGCCCCCTACTAAAAGATAAGTTTATATTTTTATAGATTAAGTCACATCATTCAAAACTTAACAAAGTGATTATGGAATTTACTAAAACTACTTACTGTTTGAAAGTGCAAACCATTTTTTAATCTTCAAACAACAAACTGACTATATTTTTTAATCTTTAAAGTGAAATTATATTGAGCGGCCAGAAATAAAATTCTAAACGCCACAGTTAGAAACACTTT